ATTCCAAAGAGACAGGCGATAAAGAGTATGAAACCGCCAGCACCGTAGCCTGTTTTAACTGCATACAAACCCACCAAAATTCCGCTGTGGGAAAGCGAAAAAAAGCAACAAGATAAGCATTTGAGGTAATGGAGAGAAATAAATATGCGGGAAAAACTACCAGGTTCCCCAACTTGTGATCCCCAGAAATTGGATGAGAATAACAATACATTGTGCGAAGAAGACAAAGAAGAAAATGAAGAAATTGGCCGAACTATTGGATCTAAAGAGGAGGAGGAGGAGAAGAAAAAAGAATATTAGCCCGAGAAATAGGTGCAAAGGTGCGCATAGTACTTAGCATCAATCTAAAGGCAGATGAAACAAGCGAATATGTGAAAAGGAAGTGAGATGAGAGGAACTTAAGGATCATTCTTGCTCCTTATTGCAAGTACTGTGGATAGTAAGAGATAGCAAATACAATCTCGTAGATTCTAGAACACTCTGTAAACACAGCATATGAGGGTTTAAAATGCTTGGCATACAGAGGGGTGGGGGGGGGGGGGGAACAGAAAAGCAAGTTCCTCTAAAGGTTTTTAATGATGTATCAGATGGTAACTTTCTTCTCCCATGACCCTGAAGCTAAAAGATTTCAAACTTCTGGTCATTGAAATAAGCGAAACTGTCTCCGATTAGCATAAAAACGACTCCTCAGGTGAAATAAACTGCTCATATATCCTAAAGGTAATAGAAAACTGAAGACTCAGAAATATCATCACTTTTCAGGAAAAACACCCTTCTATCTAGTAAATGGAAAACCCATCTGCATGTTCAAATCATATTTGTAACAAATATTTACACTATTTATTATAAAAACAAGGAATCACGCTCCGTGTAGAAAACGGTATTTGATCACAAAAAATACGTCCAAGTGTTAGACCAGAAATTAAGCTTAAACAAGAACATAAGACCCAAACTTGTACTAGAAAAAGGAATCAAAGTGACAATTTAATTATATCAAGAGAGTAATCGAAGAATATTTTAGGGCGTATCCACTCGCGACGTCATACCCTAAAAGTGGCACCTTCACCCCCGTTTTGATAATCCGTTTAGGCAAGCAAATTAAATATAGAAACACTACTCATTAGGAGAAAAATCAGCCTTCAAATCTTAGGAAAATATAAAAGTAACTTTTGTACTACCATAAATCTTCCCATAGTTATTTATTCCGAACGTTAAATCTGCACCTCCACACAAAGAATTTTATAGGGCTTGGCAGTATAGAAGACAAAATTATATCTCTGGTGGCCCACTTATTCATTCTTACTTGTGAACACCAGTTAACACAAAATCTCGGTATGTAAAGCAAAAATAACTAAAAAGGTAGAGGAAGTAGAACTGACATTTTTAAGAGTAATTCAGATCATTA